ATATAGGGCGTACTACTTACTCTAGTTAAAAGAGGTAGACTAGCGTATAAGATTTATCTATCTATCTATTAAAATTGGTCAGTAGAAGATAATGTAGAAAGAGCTAAACATGAACGTCGGAGGGCATGGCTCGTGCCGAGACCTTACATAAGCGTCAAAGTGCTGGTACACCGCTCCAGCCAGAACGAAGTCACTCCTTCCAACCAAAGTAAGCTCAACCACGTCTGTTGCATATCAACAGCCAGAGCTCTAAGCTCATCAGCAGGAGCCCTCGCTCGACTGGAATGGCTGGACATGACGCGTCATGGCGCCAGAGCCCCGGAACAGCTTCATCACAGCCATCACAGCATCAAAAGCTGAGGAACGTCTCGTGAGGCGAGCGCGCCTCTTCAGCACAAGGACACAAGCTTGTGTCGTTGATTGAGCGCCATCAGCCATTTCCACTCCGTTCCCATTGTGGGGACGAGGAGATATGTTGTCCAGACTAAGCAATGCTTAGTGAGACCGGATCCTCGCCAATACATCGGCTTCCGCAGCATGGAGTCGCGATTCAGGAGATCAAAGGCTCTGAACATGACGACTTCTTCTTCTGCTCCTTCCGTGATCGATACACGACTTTCGAGATGCTTTTCAAGTCGGTCCTGGCCGCCGCGGCCTGCTTTGGCCTTGTAGCCGCCGAGCCTGGTTGCAACAACTGCACCAACGAGTCACCCGATCCATACGTTGACGTGCCCGCGCCATGGGATCTCAGAGGAGATATCTACACATTTTTCCTCCTTCCTGGCCTTGGAATTCCACTAGACAATGAGCTGCCGAAGAAAGCCTTTCCGCCTTTGGAGCGTCAGTTCCCGAGCGCGATCGAAGGCGATTACAAGGGAACACTGGGAATGGTTCAGATTGTGCGCTATATGGAGTCGCCGGTGGGACCTTATGATGAAATGTTCATCGTGCCTGGGTACTTTGAGTACGACAGAGATGGGAAGAAGAAGCGTGGCGTTCGAGTCAGCAGGATCTACGTGAGCCAGAAGTACCCGGTGTGGACCTCAAGGATAAGTAGGTGCGGACATATGGGCAACGGAACGTAGCTTACGTGGATGCAGCATGGAATCAGCCAAAGCATCTGGCTCGATTTGAGTGGCAAGATCGACCTGATGGGAGCACCTCTGTGAAAATCTATCCTTTCGGTGAGTCGATTGCCTGAGACCGAGCATTGAAAGCAGCTAACAAAGGTGGTCTAGACACCCGAGGAGAGGGCTTGCCAGAGGACGAGCCTTCGGACAAGCCATGGTTCCAGGCTACATACTCCCCACTGCTCCCAGAGAACCTGCTCAACGAGACTTTGCCATTGCTGGGGTCGAAGGGCCTGTTGGGTGGACTGCTGGGCAACACATTGTCGAACTTGAACCTGAACCCGCAGATTCCTTTCACTACCGACCTGTTCAAACTTCTCGGGATCAACGCTACACTTATTCAGCCACCCGTTCCAGCTGGGAAGGACAAATTTGGCGCCCTTGTGCCTAGTACGCCGGAAGGAGCTTGGAAGGCTATCGATCCTTTGCAGGAGAGTACCCAGACGACTGTTGGTAGCATCAATTTGAGCCAGAGGGGTGGCGACGGCGAAGAGGAGGGCGTCAATGCTGTGGGAGATGAGTACTACGACAACTTCTGGCCAGGCTTGCCTATAGTGAATGTTGCGCTCAAATTGAAGGATGCCAAGATTGTGTTTGGCGCGCCGGAGGTGTGGCAAGGCTAGGGAGTGCACCTATCGACAGCAACGAGAAAATAGCTTTATCGCAGGCGCCCATATACGTCGGAGTTGACTGCGGGTGCTCTCCGAGCATGCTGACTGGTACCATTGGAAGGTATTTCGCTAATGCGTTGGAACAGGGATTTGAAAAGAAGTAAAGGTACTTTTCGTCTTGGGGAACAATAATCCGACGATGGCAGACTGTCCAACGCGAATTCGCTGATCAACTTCCACCCTTAACGTATTTTGGGCAGATCGCACTCACACTTCAAGCGCTCATTTTCCCCACCTCGGCTCCATCAGCCTTCTGGAGACCATGGTAAAACTGCCTCTCCTCAAAAATGGCAATATCATCTCCACCATATACCTGACCTTGCTTTTCAGCTTTGATGCGCAGACGCCGAACTCGCAGTACATCCCACTCAACATTTCTCGTCAACCACCACGTCCAAAGATTGAACATCCAGGCGACAATGATCGCGGTGGCACAGATGGCGAAGCTGGTCTTGTATCCATTGTATGCCCATTTGGACTGGAACAGCTGTGGTCCTACTACGCCTCCGACTTGTCCAACACAACTTTGGAACGCCAATGCGAATGCCGAGCCGGTCATACCTTTGAGTGTGCTTGATCTCCAAGGCCAGAAGGGGATGAAGAATACCGAGTAGAGCATGGTTCCCAGCACGCATGCGATGTAAATGCCGATTCTGTTCGTGATGGTGAAGAAGAGGACGAAGCACACCACGCAGCCTGCCATCATGGGTTGCGTGAAGGCCGGACGTGTCAGATATGCGCGATCGAGAAGAAGTCCCACTACGATGATGGCAAGAACTGACGCTGCTGCGGGAGGTATGTTGAGTAGCTGGTTCCGTGGGAGTCCAGCGAAGCCAAGATTTGTCGTAATAGTAGGCAAATACCAACTCAGGCCGTATCCTCCAAGATTGATGAAAAGCTGATTAAGCATGAAAGAGTATGTTCTCGGATCTTTCAATGCGGCAATCATTTCGTCCTTGTTGAAAGCAGATTCCTCAATCAAAGGAGCGTTCTCGGAGAGCCGGACCTCGAGGTATTCTTGCTCACGGGACGTCAACCATTTACTAGATCGAGGTGACTTGGGATAATCTGGCAGCACCATCCAGGTAACTCCGGCTAACAGAATTGTGTAGATGCCCTCGAGAAGGTAGACCCATCTCCAGGCGCTCATGCCACACATGCCGTTCATGTATGAGATGCCGTACGCGAGCAAAGAGCCCACGACACCTGAACAGTTTTGCCAGCCGAACATCCACATAATAGGTTTGCCCTGTACAGAAACCGGCGTTAGCAAAATTCACCGGAAAACTCAAAATGAGTGAAGGATCCTCACCATTTCATCAGAACGGTACCAGGAGCAAAGTTGAACAGCCAGTCCAGGAAACAGGCCAGCCTCCATCATTCCAAGCAAGAAACGCAAAGCATAGTACGTGTCTTTGTTCTGAATCGCAGCGTGGCACGCCAAGACTATTCCCCAGCTGAGAATAATCCTCGACTGCCATACTCGAGGCGTCATTTTCTTCAGCATCAGGTTACTCGGCACTTCAAAGACGATGTACGCGATGAAGTAAATGCTCTGCACCCAATTGTATTGATCGGATGTCATGTTAAGTTCTGTAAGAATGTTGCGTGGTTCTCCGACTTGCAACACTTTGACAGCAGCAGCGTTTTGGTAGTCGAGATTCTTGGTAAGGTAGAGGATTCCAATCAAGAGGAGGAACCGTTGATCAACTTTTCGCATAATGGCTTTGTCGTCTTCGCGCGTGAAAGTGGCGAGAAAGGCTTCTCTGCTCCCGGCTTCGGAGACATTGTTGGGCAAGTTCGATGATAGCGATCGAACTTCTGGACTTGCTGGTATTTTGGCAATCTCATCTGGAAGACTGGTAGTCATGATGGTAGTCGATTGATCCAGAGATCATTGACGAAGGGATAAGAGAGGTCCTTCTGAAACATTTTTGTGCCACTGATGAGCGATGGAGTATTTCGCAACTGCATCCTGATTGCATGTGCTCAACGAAGTGGGTTCTCGTTCGGGTTGTCGGTCCGCTGACGACCAAGCGCATTCAACCTCGTGGGCGACACGCGATTGAGGATGGAGCGATAAGATGGGCGTCTGCCAGTTGCGTTCGTTCGGATGGGACAAGTGCCAAGGTGAACTCATAACTGCAGTTATGGCGTGCTTGTGAGAGCTTGTCGGGCCAGTCGGCTTCGCTTGAGTGGGGAAGATATGCTGCGCAGGGACCTTCACTAGTGTGAGGACTACAACTACACATTGACGAGGTGTGAACTTGTACTTCTTGATGTTTCAGTCGTCAGAATACTGTTCACAGGTTAGAAATATCGAGAAAAATGAGCTCACCAAAGCGACAGGCGGGACGATCAGAGTTGGGCTCCAGGCCCAGGCTTGCTGTTCATGAGGCCGAGCGATCTTTCAGGTCACTCAGAGTTGCATCTGAAAGCACAGAAGTAAAGACGAACGGTATCGATTCTGGCAGTGCGATAAGGCCCAAGCGGCAAGCCTTCAAGTCCGAATTGCATTCGTCGAGATCTCCAGAACCTCAAGTGACCGATGGCGTCCAGCATTCATACGCAGTCAAGAACACCTCTGGTACCAAGTTGCAAGCATTCCGATCCGAATTACGTTCGTCCAGGATCTCAGAGCCTCAGGTGACTGATGGCGTTCAGCACTCTCGCTCATCCAACAACAGATCCGGTCCCAAGTTGCAAGCATTCCAATCCGAGCTGCGATCATCCAAGACCAAACCAGCAGTCAACGACCACAAACCCAAAAAGCACATCCTCCTCAACGCCTTCGACATGTCCACAATCGGCCACCTCTCCCCAGGCCAATGGAAAGACCCCACCGACAAAAGCACAACCAAGCGCCGTCTAGACTACTGGATCAACCTCGCCCAACTCCTCGAAAAAGGCGACATCAACGCCCTCTTCCTCGCAGACACCTACGGCGGCTACGATACCTACAATTCCAGCCTCGACGACTGTATCCGTCGCGCAGCACAATGGCCCATGACCGATCCCACAATTCCCATCAGCGCCATGGCAGCCGTGACGAAGAATCTAGGATTCGGGATCACAGCTTCGACATCTTTCGAACCTCCCTTCTTGCTCGCTAAGAGGTTTTCTACGCTTGATCATCTGACAAATGGTCGTATTGCGTGGAATATCGTGACGAGTTGGAAGAAAGCTGCGTTCAAAGCGATCGGAATTGATTCTCCAATCGAACATGATGAGCGATACGCTCAGGCAGACGAATACCTCCGAGTTTTGTACAAACTCTGGGAAGGTTCTTGGAGCGAAGATGCAATCCTTGCAGATGAGAAGAATGATGCGTATTTCGACCCGGAGAAGATCCGACATATTTCTCATCATGGGAAATATTATGATCTTGAGACAAGACACATTACCGATCCGTCACCGCAGCGGACGCCATTTTTGTTTCAGGCCGGAACGTCGGAGGCTGGATCGAAGTTTGCGGCGAGGCATGCAGAAGCGGTGTTTGTTTCTTCGCATTCGCCAAAAGTTTTGAGGCCGAAGGTGGAGAGGATTAGGAAGTTGGCGGAGGAGGAAGGGAGGGACCCGAGGAGTGTGAAGGTTTTTGCGACGATTACGCCGATTTTGGGGAGGACGGATGAGGAAGCGAGGGAGAAATTTGAGAGGGCGAAGCAGCATGCGTCCACGATTGGAGGTTTGGTGTTGTTCTCGGGGTGGACGGGAATTGATATCTCGACAATTCCGATTGATCAGAAAGTTACGGAGGCCGATTCGAAGGAAGCGAATAAGGTGACGAGTTTGATGGAGGGCTTCACCACGACGAGCAAAGATGTGCCAGAGTGGACGCCGAGGGTCATTGCTGAAAAGGCTGCAATCGGAGGTTTGGGTCCAGTACCTGTTGGCTCGGCAGCAACAGTGGCTGATGAGATCGAGCGATGGGTGGAGGAAGCCGACCTGGATGGCTTCAACGTTGGATATGTTACGACGCCAGGCACGTTTGAGGATGTGGTGGAGCTGCTGGTGCCAGAGTTGAGACGTCATGGACTGTACCCAGAGAAGAGACAGACGGATGCTGAGCCTGTGGCGCTCCGAGAGAAGGTGTATGGAGCGGGTCAGGCCAAGCTGCGAGACGATCATACTGGCTCAAGATACAAATACGATGTGTACCAGGAAGAGGAGCCGCACATCTCCAAAGTGAAGGTAGACGGTGGTGCTGCTGAGAAAGTCGACGCCAAAGGAGCTGCGGAAACGACTTATGGCCGAGCCGATGACGTTCCTTCCGAAGGTCCTGTGTTGAGAGCTCAAGTTAGTCGAGATATTCCGACATGGGCAGTCGAAAGCTTGAGATAGTCAAAGCATGATCGATTGCAATCTATGATAAGAAGTCAGCTAAACTAGAGCATCCACGTTGACCCCTGTCTTGTCACCAGAATCGACGCCTTCCTCTCCTGCTACTCGACATTCGACCACACTCTCACTAATCTTATCTCCAGGTCTGAATATGTTCGACAATTGCAAACCTGCTCTCTCAATTGCATCGCGGAACCGAGCCTCTGATCGTTCTTCGCCTCCTGCAAGATGCATCATAGTCAAATCTTGACTACACATGAAAGGGTGCGGATCCTTTTCCGGGACGACCCAGTCGTTGATGAGAAGCCTGGAATAGCCAGGTTTCATGGCATTCCTGATATTGGTAAGGATGGCGACGAGATCATCTTGATTCCAGTCGTGGGAGATGTAGCGCATGAAATAGAATCGCGCTCCCTGCACCTCGGCAGGATATGGCTTGAAGAAGTCGTGCGCACATGGGTGCACACGAGGTGGCAGCGATGAAGCCGATGCAACGGCACTAGGGAGGTCAAGAACCATGAATTTGCCCGGCGCTTCCGGGAACTTCTCGCAAGTGCTGATGGCGACGGAACCAGTCCATCCACCAACATCGACCATAAAGACACTGTTCGGGTCGTTGTCTGCGCCTTCGACAAGTCGCTGATTGACAGGATAGACGTCGGTCCAGTGCTTGTGTGCAGCGTTGTACTGTGACATGAAGACACCACCATCGGCGATGTAAGGCGTAGTGGCGAGGATGTCCCAGACATGCTTCCCCGGCATGTTGTAAATGTCGTTGAACACGGTCTCCGTGCCGGAAGGTGGTGGCTTGTAGCCATTGCCACGAAGTTTGGCTGGGAACTTGAGCCAGGCAGGATGGAAGAACTCTGTGATGAATGGTGGGCACGCCTCGCCCATCGGCGTGGTGAACGTGCGAGTCATGTTTGTTGGGGCGTACACCAGCTCGCCATAGGTATCGAACTGCTTCACAGCATTGAAACTGTTCAAGCAGCGTAGCAGGCGCTGTGTGAAGTTGAGATCGGCTTCGCACTTGGTGGCAATTTCTCGAGCGGAGAGAGGCGAAGCAGAGTCAACGAGCGTGCGGAACAGCCCCATATTAACGCCAATGGTGACTGATACGCCGTACCAAGGCTGACTGCGTTAGTGTTGGCTCACCCAGACACTTTCTGTACCACTTACATTCAGCAGGAAAATCCTCTGAATCGTGTCCCATGGCGTCTCTATTTCTGCCTGCAATTGCTTGACTGCATTCAAGACATCTTGTCGTAGGTTGTCGTCATCTTTGACAAGTCCGGGCAAAGTGCGGATCATGCCACGCAACTGCTCGAGGCTTTGTGTGCCCAATGCATCCCGAAGGCCTTCGAGCTGGACTCGTGACTGAGTCTTGGTATGACCTTTGCCTTGTGGCTTGAAGTTTTCGGTGACGACTGCGGTTGCCATGATGATGGATAATGTGTACGATGAGCTTGCTCTGCGCAATGCTCGGACGTCGGTTCTTATCAAAGTGCGGTCTCGTCACCCTTCTCAGGAGCGTGAGTTTAAGACCCTGAATTGAGTGTCAAGATCCTGGGCGAATGACTGGCATATCGCGGAATGTATACACCAATGGGACCAAATCCGCAGGGTCACTTAAGTTGCTTCGCGGCCATGTTGGATTCGCAAGTGCAATGGCGCAAAGTAGAAAGCCAAAACGAGCTGTGCCGGGTTGTACTCGGCCAAGTTGTACTTAGTGCTGCCGTTTTCAGATTTTGACTTTGAGGCAGACAAGACTTCGTTGTGCGTGTGAAAGCTCTGAACAGTACTGGCCGACGTAGCCGACTTGAGGATAGCCCGTGAGCGATCGAGGCTCTGGTCGGGCTGAGCAGGTGTGGCGAGAATCTGATCTCAGGCCAGACCATTTAGCACTTGAGTTGTTGCAAATCTGGCGAAAGCTAACGTTGCGTTGTTGCCAAAGATATCCTCAGGGGCGACACGCAACAAGAAATGAGGTGCTCCTGTTGGGTCAACGCGTGCAGTGTCATCCGCGGGAACACTCGATTTGGCCATTGGATGGCCTGTACAAACAGCGGTTTCAATCTGAGCTGCTGGTCTTCGATATTCTGGCCTCAACATATCGAAGGAGCTTGCTATTGGACACCACGTGCACAGGATCTGTACTGTAAGTCGGCATGCGTAAGCATGCTCATGATCATGGGCAAAGAAAAGGACAGTTGGTATGCCTTGCCGGTGGGGAAATTCCCGTGGAGCAGCGATGCCGGTAGTCTGAAGTGGCGGTCATCCTGTCTAGCCCTAGATCTTGAGCGGACTCTTTCGACGTGGTGGAGGAGGGAGTTGAGTAACTAGAGGAAGCTGGGGATGTGGAGGAATCGCGTCTTGATTCCCGCGGGCGGAAGTCTTGGCGCGCTCGTTTTCCCGTCACGGTTGCACCTTCCAACCTCTCATCGCTTTTGCACGCACCGGCCCCTCGCGTTCACGAGATGGAAGCAAGTCAGAAGCCATGGAAGATGAACAATGGAGGTGCTGATTGGCCGGTGATTGCAACGGTTCCGTCGGATGCATGCCGAGCCTCGTGGAGCGAACCATGACATTGGCCAAGGCGAGCAATGCGAGACGCATCAGGTAAAGATGATGTGGGAGGCGCTGCGGAGAGCGAAAAGACGAGTTTGCTTCCAAGAGAAGTGCATTGACAGGGCATATAGTCCCATCGTCTCTCTCGCTCGCTGTGCGTTTGGACAAGTCCGGATCGGCCGGGATTGCATTGGTGGAAAACACGAGAAGCGACCACGACCACGGCGACCCACTTCCTTCCACGGACACAACATCTGGGGAAATCTGGGGAAAGTGGGCAGCACGCCAGACTTTACCTCGCACTTCACGCCATGAAGGCTGCAGCATTCATTGCGGCCTTGGTGCCTGCGACTGCTGCATTGTATGTCAATGGCTCCGTCACTGCACCTTGCGAATCGCCGCTGTACTGCCAAGGCGAGATCTTGAGAGAGATTCAACTGGCAGGCGCATTCGAGGACAGCAAGACCTATGTCGATCTGCCCACCATTCGCCCACTGGAGGAGGTCATCGCAGCCTTCAACAATCTCACCAAGCCGCTGACAAACAACACTGAACTGAACGACTTCCTCTCAGAGTACTTTGGCGAAGCTGGCAGTGAACTTGGCGAGGTGAATCCCGATGACTTGACGACCAATGCGACATTCCTGGAGAATGTGACCAATCCCGACATTCGCCACTTTCTGCACCAAGTCATTGACATTTGGCCGGAGTTGACCCGAGAGTATGTCGGGAGTGCAAACTGCACTGGATGCGTGAGCTCCTTCATTCCACTGAACCGCACGTTCGTGGTGGCAGGAGGCAGATTCCGCGAGCCGTATTATGTAGGTCTACATTGGTCTCGATAGTGGGTCAAAACTGACATTGAGGCCAGTGGGACTCGTACTGGATTCTGGTCGGTCTGCTTAGAACTCAAGGCTCCTTCACGGAGATCGCACTTAACATCATTGAGAACTTTGTGGATTTGGTGAGTGCTCCTCACAGGTGAGAGCATGCGCGAGGACTGACAACTTTCAGGTCGATCGATTCGGCTTCGTGCCAAATGGTGCCAGACAGTACTACCTGAACCGCAGCCAGCCTCCCGTCTTGACGCTGATGGTGCAGGCATATGTGAAGTACACTAACGATACATCGATCCTGGAGCGTGTTCTACCAACGCTGGAGAAGGAACACGAGTTCTGGGTTGTGAACCGAACAGTGGAAGTCGACATCAATGGAACGACGTACGAGCTCAATCACTACGCTGTGGAGAACAACCAGCCTCGACCGGAGAGCTACATCGAGGACTACCACACCGCGACTAACGCGTCGTACTACGCAGAATCTGGCATCATCTATCCGGCGACGGAGCTGAATGAATCGCAGATCGCGCAACTTTACAGCGACTTGGCCAGCGGTGCTGAGAGTGGTTGGGATTACACGTCAAGGTGGATTGGCAATCCACAGGACGCCATCGATGATGTTTATTTCCCTCTGCGCAGTTTGAACACCGCCAACATTGTGCCAGTCGACCTGAACAGCATCTTGTACGCCAACGAAGCAGCTCTGTCTGAATTGTACAACCTGACTGGCAACGCATCCGCCGCCGAAGCCTGGGCCGAGGTTGCCGCGAACAGAAGTGACGCCATGACTGCTGTGCTGTGGGATCAAGAACAGTGGGGCTACTTCGACTACAACTTGACCTCATCCAGTCGGCAGATTTACATTCCAGCTGATGAGAACGCCGCTCAAAGCGAGACGCAAGGCGCTCCTCTTGGTCAGCAAATCTTTACACACATCGCTCAATTCTACCCTTACTGGACTGGAGCTGCACCGGCGTGGATCAAGCAGAATCCTTCAGCCATTCTGAGAGCTTACGAAAGGATCGAGACCGAGCTCGAGCGCTTCTCTGGTGTTCCCGGTGCGACCAACTTGGAGACCGGGGAACAGTGGGATGAGCCCAATGTCTGGCCTCCACTCACGTATATACTGATTGACGGCCTTCTAAATACTCCCGCTACCTTCGGAGAGGAAGACCCAAGCTACAACAGGACACAAGAGCTGGCCTTTGAGATTGCGCAAAGATACCTTGATTCAGCTTTCTGTACATGGCGCACTACTGGTGGTGCGACAGCGAACCTGCCTAAATTGGAGTCTGTAGATCCAGAGGACGACTACGACGGTGCTATATTCGAGAAATACAACAGCACTGATATCACCGCATTCGGTGGCGGAGGAGAATATGAGGTTCAGCTTGGCTTTGGCTGGTCCAATGGCGTTCTGATCTGGGTCGGAGACCTTTTCGGTGATCGTCTGGAGCTTCCCGCTTGTGAGCAGGTACTGGAAGAAGGTGGGGATGCGAGTGATGGCGGGAATAGCAGGAAGATTAAGAAGAGGGATGCGAAGTGGCGATCGAAGGGACATTGAGTTGATGCCAAGGAATGAGTCTACGAAAAGGAATGAGGTGATGAGGTAATGTCGATATATGAAGCAAAAGATATACATACAACAGTATTACCGCAAACTTCAGGTATGTGGAGCAGAGTGCCGCAACGTGTGAGGTTATCTGAAGAACAATGGCATTGTTGGCTCGTGCGACCGAAACGTGCAATTCCGGATCCGGCAGCACGAACAAACAAAGAAATATTCTCATGAGTTCTGGACTGCAGAGAGCGCAACAGGTCGATGTTAGTTTCCTGTGGGCGTTTGACAAATCTCACAGCATGATGGAGATGCGACAGACCCGCGGGAGGGAAGGAATCGTCAAGAAGAGCCGAAGATTGCTCGAGGCAGAGGAAGACGAAGCAGTACTTGTCGCTTTGAAGGGTGGAAAGAGGAAAAGAGCGGCGCGCCAGAGTCCCCAAGCAGAAACGGAACCAGCACAGGAAACTTCGCCCCGAGCAGAGCAGGCCTCAGAGATTACCAGCAATGAGGTGGAAGTCGAGCAGCCATTGTCAGAACAGATTGATGCAACAGAAGAGTCACAGGGAGCCGCCACAGTGGAAGCTCCACCACGAGCAAAAACAAGGAGACGTGCTGTAAAGCAAATTGTCACTGGAGCGGAGCCACCAGTACTGCAACAGAAGTCAAACTCTCCAGACGGCAGAGCCACCAAGAGTGAGAAACGGCGCTCAAAACGGCTACAATCTCCAGAGCCTGCAGTCGGCCTTGGTATTTCGAATGCTACGGCAACTGCACCAACGCACGTAGGAGTTGTTGTAGTTACTCAGACGAGCTCAAGCGAGTCTCCACAAGAGATAATCGCTAGCCCAGCGGCAAAACGATCCGCGCCCGAGATTCAACAAGCTCAAACCCCAAAGTTGCGAAAGAGTAAACGTACTCGCGATGTCGAACCACCTTCGAAAACTGTCGTCAAAGACAAGCCAGCCAAGCAAATCACGAAACCAGCCACCAAGCCTCCTCGAAGATCGAAAAGATCCAGGAAAGCTCAACGTCAACCTGGTTGCTTGCAATTATCTCCAAACACAGTTGAGAACGACATTTATCTGATGGTACAAATTGGAGTGGCGAATGAGACATCGAAGACGCGGAGAAGTAGAAGAAGTAGAAGCAAAGAAGCTACTTCACCCCAGCCCAAGACGCCAGATACGGGAAAACTTGCTAAGAGGTTGTTTGAGAGTATAAGGAGTCCTGTGAAATGATTTGTAGGCGGAGATTGGCCTCATCGAGAGCATGATTAGAAGGAGCAGGCTGAAATTCTGGCTACTGGTGCGAGTAACATATGTTGAAGGGGGTCTCAGATCACACAGCCTCTCTCCTCCGCACTTCCAAATCCCATTTTCTCCTTTAAGACCAGCAACTACCGCGAATAGCACCAGCGACAAGGTTGTATGGTGCTTTGGTACCAGTTACAATACACTGGTTTTCCCCTGGTTGGCCATCGATGCCGCCTGTTCATTGTGTTAGCTCGGTAGTCCACACCGCATCATGCTCTGAAGAATGGTGAAGTTGAATTTCGACGTACCGTGCGGGTGATAGTCAACGCAAGCAGTGAACTTTGGATCCCAAAAGCTGTTTGGGAAGACCGATGACCATGCATCGCAGGCGTCCTTGTCCAGAGCCTGGTTGTCTTTACCGTCGATATTGCAGCGGCAGTAGGTGTGAATCTTGGCCATCGCTCTGGATTTCAGGGTCAGGATCCTGGTTGCAGATAGTAGAAATCCATGGTGTACTCACGTGGCGGCGAAGACGAGGGTGGTGAGTGTGGTGAACTGCATTGTGAAGGCTGAGAGTGCGGAAAGCGTGAGCTTAGGATGCTGAGGATGCTGATCTGCTTGATTTGCTTGCTGGTGATGGGGGTTATGGAGAGGAGAGCAGCCAGAATTTATAACATTTCCTCATCGCATCCACTGAATGCTCTGGGCCATTCGTATTGCTTCGAGATCGTGGTCTGTCCTCAACGAACATCGGATCTAGATTGGGAAGGGTCAATGGCACCACCAATTCATCATTTCTGCTATCTGAATAACCAGCAACATCTGTGCGCATCGTGCCGCGAGTAACCAAACAAGCGGCGAGCGGTCACGAAGATGGCTTCCTGTATAGTCTCTTGCTAGCCTCCGAGGAGAATCTTTGGCACATCCTGTGGCTCGGTTAGTGGTTCAAGGCCGACCAATGTAGCTTCCGAGGTGTATCATTCTGGCACGACACAGTTCAGGCAATGAACGAGAGACCGACGCATCGATCGCTCTTCAGCCATAATACGGTGCGTGTATACTGGCCGAGATATTTGATCTCTGGCTATCAAGTCTCCAATCCAGAACCAGGAATGGAAAGTATTATGTGCCTGGTCCAAGTAGCTCGTGTCTACATGAGGGTGAATGCAGAGGTCGATTGATAGTTAGCATGAGGGTACTATTGGCTTAGTGAAACATCTTCAATCATTGCTCGCTATGAGGGAAGCATGGGACCATCTCATTGGAGAATTTACGAGATTGCCTTTCGGTGACAGTCCTCCTGCACTGGAGTATGAGAGCTCCAAATGGGCTGCTGCATGTGTGCCGTGGCATCCCCTGCTCAAGTTCAAACGGTAACATTTCCGTGTGCCACACGTCTCTGCCTCATTTGACCAGCGCCATTTGATGGATCTCGCAACTAGGTAAGCGAGGAATCGCTTTGATATTAATCTCGAGACTTTCACGTGGCTTTCATCGACCGCCTAGTGTCATCAAAGCTGATCGCTAGTGGATTCATACATTCGATGTTCAACTACAAGCAGGCGGTAAGCAGACAGCCTACGTGGTAAACTGAACTGCTTCCCCTCCAGTGTCTCAAAGTTGCAAATGCACAGGTAGGCAACAGCGAGTGAAGTTGTATCACTAACACTGCCGTCGGCCGGAGTTCTCCCTTTCGAATAGCCATAGCTTGCGGCCACAAACTTCGGCTTTCGCGATCGAAAGGTCTAGACCCTCCAAAAACGCGAGTACGTGTACTTGTATGGTTAGTAACAATCTGAACAACCAACCAAAAGAGGTAGAGGTTATTTTTTGCATACTCAAAACAGTCTCGAAGAGGAACCACCCAGTTCTTAGGCAAATGGGCTGATTCGCATGGCTTCGACTCTGCTCACTTAGCCGACTAACCACTAGCGGCATGCCCAGCAGTGCAGTCCATCCAGCCCGTTTCTTTGTCGATCTTGAGGCCACGTGGGGGCAGTCCGGCCACTGAGAGACTGGTCCCCCAATCAATGCTAAGCGCGTATAAGCAAGTACAAGATTGCCGGCCCGTCGTGCTTGTTGAAACCTCACCGTACGATGTTTTGTCCGTTAAGCCTAGCGACATCTCGCTTAATTGGTTTCTTCCACAAGTTCGCTATCTTCGATATGTCGGTGTCACCATCGGCTTGTCCTGTCCCTCGTATGGGCATTGAGCTTTACTAATACAACACAAGGCATGTTTCACATACGAATGCCACGCGGTCGCATGATATAGTCCGCGGAGAGCTTAGAGATTAGATGACGTCCGCTCAGAGCTCAAGTTCCATGGCTGTAGATAGTCCATGGCAATGCCACAAAAGAATGCGATGAGACGAAGTCGGCAGGGTATGAGGTTTTCAGAGGCTGCGTCACTCCAGTCGAACCAAATATGTCGCGGATTCGCAGTCCTGAGGACGTTTCAAGTTGACTTCATAGAACTTTTGCCAGCTACATACCTCCGACCCACAATCGGTGCAATCTGGATGACGATCTAGGATATCCTGTATCAAGTTAAATGCTTCCTCGCGCTGTGGAAAATCGCGGCCGTTACTGTTTGTGACACACTCATTAGATTTCAGATCCACTGCTCATCGCGTCACCTGTCGTCCACTGCTGCAAAAGATCGTCGACTGGATCTTCAGGTTTCCGCGAGACCCTTCGCGCTCCGGTGGCTTGAGTTTGCATTCGACTCCAGATCCAGTCGTCGTCTTTTACCGACTCGGCCGTGGCGGGAAGATAGCCATGTTTCTTGAGTCCCTTCTTTGTTTTCTCCTCCTTTTGTGCAGGCACAAAATCCTTGCTGATAGATCGAGGCGGAGGTGGGGGCGGGGGTGAGATGTAATAGGACGTTGGAGGAAATGGGAATGCTAGTCCACCAATTGAGTCCTTTTCGCTGGGTGGCGGTGGGGATTCAAGGAGGCCGTCGTTCGCACTGTCCTTGAGGTCTCTCGTATCTTTTCGTGTGGGGTTCCTAGGAGGTTCAACTTCAAGTCTTATGACTCCAGCCTGGGTAATGACCTCTGATGCAAGAGCGCTCTTCTTTGGCTTCTTATGGGTTTTCTTTCCCTTCTTACCGATAACGGCAAAAGTGTCCCAATCTGTGTGGACTGTCAGCACTTTCGATCGTGCAACACAGGTATTGACATGTTCTTACCATCAACAGGATCAGTTTGCGCTACCGTGGGATCAACATTGGCTGCGTTCCAACCCTGAGAGTCGGCATGGCCTACAGTTGAACGGGCAGCTGGCTGTTGCATGTTTTGCCACGCTCGAAACTGTTGTGTTCGAATGGACGCTGGATCTCGCGCTTCGCGTTGAGCCGCTTCAAGACCACCGACCGCTTCTGAAGCAGGTGACCCTGGGTAATCGCAATTATCCAAGGACTTTGGATTCGGCAAGGCACTTGTTTCGATTTTATCATCTGCTGCATGTCCATCGAGCGCAGCTACTTTGGTCTTCTTCTTTCGAGGAGGCTTTGGTACCAGTACCTCTTCTGAGACTTTCACGTCGGCAACGTCGCAAGGTCCAGCGAAGTTCTGAAGGTCTGCGAAGGGATCCGCAAAGAGCTCAATCGGTACGGGAGGAGGAGCCATGTTCGCGACCGGTGGGTCCCAGCACTCTGTAAACTTCGACTCCTTCTGAGCCTTTTTGGTACCTTTCTTCTTCTCTTTAGATTTCTTGCTCCTCTTCTTTGGTGCCTGTTCGGCAAGATCAACGATGGGGAAAGGATCCGTAAGTGGGAGAGGAGGAGCGTCACTTCCTCCCTTCGCACTTTGCTCATAGCTCACCAGTAGATCACCGAAATTCTGATTGAGTATGTCAAGCGCGCATCTGATAGAGTTCATGTACACGCGATTGGAGTTGTACCATCCGTAGGTTTCTGTCGCCAGCATCTCTGAAAGAGCACTGGCACTGTGTGCTGTTTGCATTAAGAGGTTGGCAAAGGTTGGTTTAGCCATGAATGGAGGCACGCCGTCCGCAATTGGCAGAAAGGGATCAATTGGTGGAGCGGCAAGTGAAGTAACTGGGGTGATAGAAGTCCGCCGCCTAGGCCGCTCTGCGCTGGGACAGCGGGACTCGGAGCCAGGTATTGATGGTACCCACGAGAGCCGATGTCGAGATGGCGACCGGTCCTTGGAGTCTCTGCTTCCGTCTCGATGATTTGGTATGGCCGATCTTGGAGTACGAGGATCTGGGAAGTCTGCAGCGCTTTCCGGAGTCGATTTGCGGCTTCTAATGTCCCAGCTACTGTCGGACCCAGCGTTGCTCTCACCGTCTCCTGACGAGCTGTCGTCGATGTCTTGATCCATGGCTTTCATCTGCGTCACGAGATTTTCGATCTGGAGACGCTGGAGAGGTATGGTCGTTTCATTGCTGGAGAATGTGTCAGCAGCCGAACTCATAGAAAGATAGTCATCATACGATGTTGACATGTCTTTTCTCAGCTGCAGTACCGCAAGTATAAGAAGCAGCGAAGTCCTTGCTTTGTCCAGCCTCTTCAGGTAACGCGGAAGTCTGTCGTATTCGTCCAGCCTGTAAGAAGGCCGCATGTTCTCACTCGGGTGCTGCAAATAATATCGATGAATGCTTTCGAATGCATTATCACAGCTATTGAATGCTTTCAGTGCTGACTTCCTAACAGCAGTTGTTGCAAATCCGCCGAGCGTTTCGCGTTCGAGTTGGGCGCTCGCGTATTTCAACACTTCTGTAGTTGCATTGACAGACTGGAGAACAGCTTCTATCTTCGGCTGGTAGTCGAGAACCCACGGAGGACCGCCGATGCTTTCGAGTGCATCAAGATGTCGCTGCACCGTCTTCTGAACTATTGAGCCTAAGTCTGCAAATGTAAGTGCTGTTCCGACGAGCTCAAAATGGTCAGTCATGGCTTCTGACATTCTGTTAGTAGTATGAAAACCGATCAAGTGGTAGAGGGAGACCTTATGTCGAGGGAACTCTCATCAGCATCGACCGGTGAGAGTATGTCGTACAAAGTGCGGGCAGTGCATGCGCAACATGAGTGCGTTGGCGCGAGTTAAGCTGGTTGTTGAGCTTGATCCTACGAGTCACTGCATGTTGCTTGTGGCTCCAGGTCCGGGATCTTGCTGATATGTGGACCTCGTTGCTCTTCAGCAAGAGTCTTAGACCACCCGGATGTTGCGGAACGGCGAGGGACTGCATGAAGGTTTGCTGCGCATGTGAGCACGATGATCACAATCTCAATGCAAGCATGCTATGCCCAATCGTTTGTACGCGTCACAACGAATCCGCGAGGAACGAGTGGCAGACCAATGAAGCGGATGATAACTCTGGAAGCTGCGGGTGATCTCGCATTCCAGACTTCGATATCCTCTTCATCCAGAAAGGGCTCGAGCTGGAGGCAAAAGACGAGTTCCTTGTATGCAAGAGACTCTGGAGCGTTGGAGGTCATGGTGCAGGTCGCCGAAGGTACATGGTACAGCTCGAACTTCGCCATGTGTGAGGTTGCCAAAATTGCCAAAATTGCCTTTGTCCCCATGCGTTCGAGTAGGCTCTTGCTTGTCCTCGTCATGATAGGCTTGACTGCCTTCTGCACGAATGTTTTTGTGAAGTGGAGGTAAGTGTCCAAAGCATCTGGGGCTGCTTGAGCTCGCAAATCAGCTCGCAACAGTCCGCAAGAGCTGTGATCCCATCAAGGGGGCAATGTCAATTACTGAGTCATGCATCTGCTCTCAAGCTGTAGCTTGTGAGCTGCAGCTCGATCGTAGACAAGGCTTCGCAGGTACTTGGTTGTTTCCTTGGGACACCCATGGAAGTGGAGCGTTTGTCTTCAAGGATGCAGAAATGGAGGTGGACTGGAATTGCAGCTTATTCGATCGCAATCCCATCGAACTGTCTTGTTGAGAGTCTAGGTTCTGCTATCAGTGTATGCCAGGCTGGATCGTGCGATCATTGTCCATTTGTGTTTGAACAAGACTGTGCTACATCTCAGATGTGCAGCTGATGCTGGAAATGTGACATGCATCCCCCTATCATCGGTGAGATGAGTCGATGTAGGCTTGACGAGTGTTTCTGCATCTATAGAAGTATGCACGCAATCTCGTCGTCACTGATGGAAGTTGGTGTCGAGTGAATCCCTTTGGAAGAAGGTAGAATCTTCGTTCTGGTGCGGAGGGTCCTGCCTCAGACTCAAAGCAATAGCTGTCTGCCGTAGTACGTGTGCATGTGTATACAATGTGCGATCGAGTTTGACCAGAGCTTTGTGGCGCCGTGTAGAACAAGTAGTAGACGCAGGCTGTCGTGTATAGTATCAATTCCACGCATGTGAGAAGGAGAGAAGACGAGACTGCCTCGGGCGGTCCGCTCCGCTCTTCGAACTCGTACCCGTATTCGTATTCTTATTCGTATTCGTCAAGGTCAAGTCGCACCCTTTCCACCCAGTTCACATTAACACTCGCGTTCGACTCGTTCACATCACCACAAACTCCACTACAATGTCGGGCGGCGCTGTCTCGGATTCTCTTCCCCTGTATGTTACGCAGCTTCATCATCTTACGCGTATAGCCAAACGGGCTCCGCTCCAGGCTGCAAGCATGTACATATGGCGCTGTTCGTCGCTCATGAAGGGCTACCTTATCCTTCATACACATTCTTTTGACCTGAGGAACGATGAATCTCTCACTCTCCTGCCTCCTTTTAATATCTGCTCTCCTCAATCCCGCCACTGCCTTGATTAACGCCGACGTCTGCAAATGTGTATGATGTCCTGTTTCCCAGCTCGAAGGACATATGTGCTGATCAGATTTTAGCTTCCCAACGACGAATGCTGGCCAAAGGATGAAGCCTGGTCTCAGCTGAACTCAACAGTCAATGGACGTCTCATCCGTAGTAAACCTCCGGCCTCCGTCTGCTATCCCGAAGAGAGCAACTATGACCCAGAAGCCTGTAGCCGAGTCTTCGAAAATTGGGAATCTTCCTACTGGCATGCTGATGATCCCATCTCCATTGACTCACCTCCGCGCTATGCTTGTCACCCGATCTATCCTAATGGCACGAGTATCCATGGAGATCCCACCGCCGGCGAGAGAGGATGTGGAGGCGACTCGTACCCGGTGTTCGTTGTCAATGCATCTAGCGTCTCCGATGTCCAGGCTGGGGTGGAATTTGCCCGCAGACATTCTGTCAAGCTCAATGTGAAGAGCACTGGTCATGGACGCAGCTCCATCCCAGGAAGTCTATCGATCTGGACGCATTACTTCAGAGGCAAAGAGTTTCATACGAACTTCGTCCCTCAAGGAGCCAACTCCAGTACCAACGCAACCTCCATGGCTGTCACCTTTGGAGCAGGAATTCTCGATCGGGAAGCCTTCGAGTTTGCGGCAGAGCATGACGCCGTTGTCGTTGGAGGCACGGATTCGACAGTCGGCCTTGTTGGATGGGCTGGTGCTGGGGGTCATGGCTACTTGACTGGTGGATATGGTATGGGGGCCGACAGCTTCTTGGAAGTCACTGTGGTTACGCCCAGTGGTGAAATCGTCGTCGCCAACGCATACCAGCACGCCGATCTCTTTTGGGCCATCGGTGGTGGTGGTGCCGGCACTTGGGGTGTCGTTGTATCTCTGACTGTGAAGGCTCATCCCATGCCAAGTACGGCGATGTGGTCGCTCTCACTCACTGCACAGAACGGAACCACGGCTTCAGAGTGGTACAAAGTTGCTGCAGAACTCTTCGCCGACATTCCACGACAAAGAGACCTGGGGCTGTCAGGGTATCAGACGCTGGGTGGACCGCCTTTAGTGGTGACCAACGCCATGTTCGGGTACGATATGTCGCGTGAAGCTGTAGAAAAAATCACCGGGCCTCTCTTGCAACAGCTTGAGACGCAAAATTCGACTGCCCAGGTCGATTCCAACATTGTCATGTTCCCCAAATGGATCGATGTTTTCCATCAGTTCAACTTGACGCTGCCGGTGGGTGGGGCCACCGGCGGTACCACAGCCGCTAGGCTACTTCCTGACAGCAGTCTCACTGATACTGAGACCTTCGCTCGAGTCTTGGAGAACATTGGTCCCAGCCTGGACAAGCCGAAAGTGGGTGGCACCGTACCCTCCGCACTGAGCTGGCTAACGAAGTATTACAGGACAAATTCAGATCCGGGCGTTCCATATCTGGCACTGCCACCGGGTCATCGCGAAAGGTCGACAATGCGCTGAACCCCGCCTGGCGTGATACTGCGGTCCACTTCATCGTGAGTGAGTCATGGCCACATGACACACCTTCCGAAGTAGTCGACGAAGCAATGGCTGCAATGGAGCAGTCCGCATATCAGCTCAGATCAATTGCTCCAGACTCTGGGGCTTACATCAACGAGGTAAGCAAGCTCCACATCAACTGATGAGGTAGGTATGCATAGCGCTAACGTATTTCAATAGCGCGGCGACTTCGTTCCTGACTGGCAGAAAACTCTCTACGGCGACAACTATTCCCGCCTCCTGGCCATCAAGCACAAATACGATCCCGAGAGCGTTCAGTGGTGCGAACTCTGTGTCGGAAGCGACGAGTGGTATGAACGTGAGGATGGAAGATTTTGCAAGCAATCGTGGGCGTAGTCAGAATGTTCGGCAACATTCGATTGGCCACACGCTGATTGCGAAATATCCGATATGCATGCGCGGTTGGAAAAGAATCCGAAAGAAATTCACGGAAACGGGACTGTTACCAGTGCCTGGGTGGCATATATTCCCCCAAGACCTGAGACATCTGGCGGATTTCATAGTCATGAACTCGTTTCATCATTCTTCCGATCGCACCTCCACTGCCCATCACAGTAATCGAAAGTTCTTGAACTTGCGCACATTCATGTATTTCCTCAGTCCAGAATCGATCTGGTTCGGGGCGTTGTTCTCGGTAAACTCCCTCCAAGCTTGAGAGTAGACGTCAGCATGGGCAGTTTCAAATCGAACTCCATGTACCACGGAGAAAAGAATACTTACGTTCACACGTCTGCGCAATAACGCCCGGAATCTCGTCACGCTGCATCACCTCATCGGGCTTCTGTACGACATTGACGTAAAGTCCTTGACCGACGTGCCTGCAAAAGTGGTTAGTCACCTTAAGCTTCTACATCTCTAGAGAGGGCTTTACTTACCATGCGATGTGGCAGTGGAACCCCCACACTCCGGGGTTATTGCTGATGAGCTGAGCTACCAGATATCCGTTTGGTTTCAAGCTTGCAATATCACGCCTTGCTGGATTGTTAGGACGCACGGCGTTGATCCCATTGTACTTGCCCACGCCTTCGTCGACAATGTACATATTTTGGCCATGGATGTGCTGTATCGTGGTCAGTAGGTCGTTCCTCAAAGTTTGACAGATGCCAAGATTACCATAGGGTGCCCAAACGGCACGTTGTTCTCAAAGATGAACCGGATTGTCTCGTTGCGACCAAAGTTGTAGACGTTCCATTCTGGGTTATCGGGATAAGATGTGTTGCCATTGTACGTCAAATTGAGGAGCGGGAAGTTGTAATTTGCGCGGAACGTCTGCCCGTTCATGAGGTAAGATGTATGACCAGTAGCGTTGACAGTTTGTGTAATCTTGATTGTCACCGTGGTGTCTGGAGGGTCAAGTTTGATGGGATAGAACGGTTCTGTTTTGGTCAAAGCAGCATCTCCGCAGTCGATGAGGGTTGGCTGTACGAAGTCAAAATTTGGTAGCGAGTTTGGCCTTCTCTGCGTGTCAACACCAGCGTAGTAGACCGCTGCCAGTGCGAATGGCTGTGCGGCGAGAGCACAAAGAACTGGCTGACGAACACGCAGCCAGTATGCACTAGCTCTCTGATTGGCGGTAACGAGAACATCGATGCGCTGGCCAACGAAAAGAGTGATGAACTTGGTCGTCGTCGCCAACGACTTCGTAGCGATCAAGCCTTATACGACAATGTCGTGTTGATCCAGACTAATGACCATGTACCCAGCAGCGGCGGTATTGATGAAGCGTAGCAAATGGGTCTTGCCTCTCGTGAAGCCAAATTTGGCCAAAGGCGCACCAGGCGTGCATTGAGTGCCTGCAGGAGCATTGGAGCAGTCGGCGCTCATTCTGCCTTGAATCAAAGTGTTGCTCGAGGTCACAAGAGCAGCAATAGCAGGGTTGTTGCTCATTGACTGCTGAACCAATTCATAGTAGTCCTTGTTGTACTTGTCGCTGACGAGGATCGGTCCCAGATCGACGTAGTCTTGTGTAGGATAGTTGTCCGTGGGCCCGTGTATGATCATTGGTCCTAGGATACCACCAGCATACTGTGCAGAGTAGTGAGCATGCCACCAGCTCGATCCGTATATATCCGCCTGGAATCTGTATACGAAGGTCTCTCCTGGAGCAATGGGACACATGTGCACTGAAGGCACACCATCATACCAAGGTGTCTTCTTTTGCAGCAAACCGTGCCAGTGTATCGCCGTGCCCTCAGCAGGGTTGTCGATGGAGTTGGTCACTGTTACTTCAATCCAATCACCCCAATTCGCTTCGATCATGGGGCCAGGGAATTGTCCATTGACAACAATCATTGGTGTGGGAACCCCATCCGGCGCGAGAGTCATACGAGCGATGTTAAAATTGTAGTATCGCGTGACACCAGTATCTGGCGTTACCTCGTACACATTCGTACCCCCGGCTGTTTGGTTGCCCCATGGTATGCCCTGGCTGCCACCTAGGAACTTGGGTAGGATGGGTGTTGGTAGAAGTCCCAGCGGCGTCGGGCCATTCTGTAGCAGACCAGGGATGATCGAGAGCAGGACGCCTGTCGAGGCAAGGAGGTTGTTAATAAAGGTAACATTGCCCAGGCCATCAAGCAGGGGCATTAGTAGGCTGGCCATGATTGCAGCGATATGTCCTGCAAGTGCTGCAGCCTTACTCCAGGCAATGCTGCAAGGCCGGAACTGTTATGCATCTTGTATCTCGCACTTCGCGACGGCTACAGCGTGTAGGAGGTCCAGCGCGTAGGCTGCCCAGAAGAAAAGCAAACCATTGCTGAATCAGGCGTCTGATCTTCTTGTCATGGCACCGCATAACAAGTCACTAGACTATTGATTAGCGGGCTCGTTTGCTGAAGCCAATGATGGGCTTCGCGCTGAACGTTGTTTTTGTGATCGGCACCAAGCCAGCCACTCAGCTTCAAAAGGATCAGCACCGCATCGCGCCGCCCGCATGTCTATACTTTTGCACTCTCTGCATCTGGTAATCGCTATACCCCAAGTGCCGACGACTCGACTGCTTCGACTCGCTAGGTATACGAAGAGGGCATACTTTGCGCTGATCAGTGCGGAGTTACTTAGGGGCGCGATGGCGAATGCTGTACGTTGTCTAGCCTGTGAAAATCTCGATTGGGCGATGCTGCCTGTCGCACATGCTTCTGTCGGCCAGGAGAATGTCCTTCACCCACGTCCATAGCATCGGGAAGTATCTGAATTGATCTAGTGTGGGTGAGAGTCCTTAGTTGTCGTTTCCGTCACCAAGAGTCAAGCTTCAGCAATATAAGTGCGGTCCACTGGCGACAGAATAGTTGAGATGTGGTCATTCAAGCGGATCTCGGAGTCAGGAGTTCGACGTCGGCGACCGCCAATTGTTACATCTCCGACGCACGATATGGTGCAGTTTTGGGCCTTCAGTGCTGTTCAAGGCCTGGAGCCGCCTTCTCCCGAACATTCAGGTGTGAAAGTGAAGCTGCAGAACTCTACTAATGCCTCCCACACATCTTACATCCACAACCAACGACTGTTCAGCTCAAGGCAATATCGAGATTGTCTCTGCGCATCATGCCGACATCTGAGGAAACTGGCGCGGGCCAGAATCAGCTTGACCAGTACATGGCGCAATCGGAGGAAGGCGCTTCGACAATGAGACGTGCAAGAGAGGACGACCTACAAGACCTCACTCCACCGAGCTGCAGGAGAAGATCAAGAGCCTTGACTCGCAGCAATTGCAGTCTAGCAAATCGGTAGAGACTGCTCAGGCCCGGATCATGGAGCTTGAAAATGAGACCGAGCAGGCCAACAACGCCAAATCCAGACTGGAGACGGAAGTGGGCCAGCTTCAGCAGGAAATCAACAACATGCGCTATGCGCACGCCTTGGCTGATTCAGAGGAGGCCACTTGTCTCCGTGCCATCGATAAAGATCACCAATTGTGTCCGACCAAGTTGCAAGCTGCCTTCAATCAATGGGCACAGAGCGAAGCTGCTCGCCAGAGCGCAGTCACTGCTCACGCAGACTGTGTCGATGCGAAGGAGGCCGCCCGTCTTTCCAGGGTGGACGAAGAACACCAATCATGCGCGGCCAGATTGCACGCCGTCTCCGAAGATCTGATGGAGAGCGAAGCCGCTCGCACTGCCGCCGTCGCTGCTCACGCCGATTGTGCGAAAGAGTGTAAGGATTGTCAGGAGCTGGCGGTGGCTCTCGAGAGCCTCGAACGTGAGGTGAAGGAGATTGACAGGAGCCTCCAGTAAAGGCCTGCATCCACTTTGTTGTGCTTCTGCTAAGCGTCGATGCTTGATTGTGTTTCGTGTGTCATGCATTGCTGTTCTAATCCGATCGATGGGATTATAGGTGAAGACAGGCATTCGGAGGGGAAAGAAGCGGAGACATTGCGTTTCCTGCGAGTGCAACTGTACTCTATCAAAGCGAATCTGCTCAATTCGACTCTTACGCTGTGTCTTGCACGACCTGCCACGACAAGAACCATTGCCCGAATGTACTGACATCATCAGTTGTGCAAGGTGCCGATATCGTGGAACTGATGCTCGCGAACATTGCGGCAGCGGTACACATATCATGACTCTCAAACGTCGACGCCCTAGCTCTGTCGTCCTTTACCACCTTTAATCGCTTCAACGGGGTTATTCTGATGGAAACACGCAATCCTACACCTCACGCTCCAGACTATCGGCAAGTCGATGTTTCCCACAGCCAGGACACCTGATCGCTTCGAAAGCTACGTGGAACCAGAGTCAAGGCAGCAAGTTGCCTTTTCTCCGGAAGCTCGCCGCGTTTCTGTCCTTAAACTGATCGTCATCTGATGGCTTCCTGGAATTCACGAAGCCAGATATACCTGAACCTTGCACGTACTACTCTGAGAATCCGTGCCCTCTGTGATTCATGTCATGCCCACATTGAGCAGCAGACAATGAGCGCCTGCGCTCAGAGTAAGGACGTGGGCATCTTAATGATCTCTGGCTAGTCCACCTACCCATGTCATGAGCTAATCGCAGGTTCGTTCGCTTTCAAGGAGTCTCACATCCAGAGATACCAGGTACCTATTCAATGCTCTCCAGATCTCCACGGCACCCAGTCCAGACACCTTCTTGACATTCAGTAGCGTACTGGTATTCAATTGATCAGAGAATAGACCAACGTGCCTCCGGATTTCTGACGGAATGATGCTTGCATCTTCCTACTTGGTTAGAGTTCGAATGGCCGCCAACTGATTCTGTTCCCAGAGACAAGAGGAACTGCTTGCAGCTCTCCAAAAATCGATGATAAGCCAACCACGCTGCTTCTTGAGTTCTGTTGGCATTCAAAAATGAATTCTGGCGGAGCGATGGCGTCCAGCTGTGCTGTTTCTGAATCCATGAAGCTGCCCAACTCTTGTCCATTTGTATGCTTGGATGCATCCAGGGGGGTTTGAATCCAGAGGCACGAGGCCCAACAATAGGCTCTCCGAGTCTCCATGGCTTTCAAGATGGAAAGTTTCTGGAGCTCAAGCGGCAGACAACAACGTTGATGGACAGAGATAAGAGGACCGTATCAAAGGCTTCGGCCAGTCAATACTTCTCAATCTGTGCCTCATTTGGAGCTCCAGTGGCATACAACGAGTCTCTCAAGCAGAGACACCAGCAAGATACGGAATTTCAAAACGGCAATGAGACAAATGTAAACCCCACGTGCTTTCATTATGTGTATTATGGACACCCAAGCACCGAAAAAGGACAGAATAAACGACACAAAACCCACTCTCCAGCCCAAAACACACTCAACGAACCCACAAATTGCCCTCCACCT